TCTCACAATCTCATAGAAGGCAATGCAGGGAAGAAATTTAAAACCTAATTTTAAAATCGTGGGAATTCAGAATGCCCCACATATTAGTATTTAAACAGAATCCCAGTGACAACAGTCCAAGAAAGTGAGCCCCTCCCCTGCTCCCCGCACAGTAGCACCTCCCTAGCGGGGGCCTTTGCCCCGCCACTCCCGTGAGGAGACAGGAAGCTCCACACTCTGCAGGTCCCAGACATCCCTGCCTCCCACCACGGAACCTGCGCCCTCACAGATGCTCAGCAGATATGTGTGGGATGGTGGGTGGATGGGTAGGTGGATGGGTGGGTGGATGGGTAGGTGGGTGGGTGGGTGAGTGGATGGGTGGGTAGGTGGATGGATGGGTGAGTGGATGGGTAGATGGGGGGGTGGATGGGTGGGTGGATGGGTAAGTGGATGGGTAGGTGGGTGGGTGGGTGAGTGGATGGGTGGGTAGGTGGATGGATGGGTGAGTGGATGGGTAGATGGGGGGGTGGATGGGTGGGTGGATGGGTGAGTGGATGGGTGGGTAGGTGGATGGATGGGTGAGTGGATGGGTGGGTGAGTGGATGGGTAGATGGGTGGGTGGATTGATGGGTGGATGGGTGGGTGGGTGGGTGGGTAGATGGATGAGTGAGTGGATGGGTAGATGGGGAGGTGGATGGGTGGGTGGATGGGTGGGTGGATGGGTGAGTGGATGGGTGGGTAGGTGGATGGATGGGTGAGTGGATGGGTGGGTGAGTGGATGGGTAGATGGGTGGATGGATGGGTGGATGGTCTGTCCTTTTCAGTTTGGTAAACTGATACACAACCACTTCTTCCAAAGAGTAGCCAGCTTCTTCCTAGGTTCTCCATGGCAAGCAAAATAGGACCCTTTCAGAGAGAACCTCCAAAGCGTCCAAGGGTCGTTTGGGCAGATCCTATTAACTGAACACAAACAGGCTTTCATTGCTGAGCCATTGCATCCTGGGACCTCATTCCGAGGCCCAGCATTGGGTAGTGCTGCTTTGGAAAACACAAAAGGTCAAACCCATAAAACTGACACGGATGGGGAAGTCTTTAGTTCTTTAATTGGACTTCCCAGAACTGGGAAGGGCCCATGTGGGTGGAAACTGGTGTTTATCCCAGAATGGACACAAAACTGAAACCCGTGGTGCATTTGGTAGGACTGAAGAGCCCTCTAGTGGCAGTGGAAGCACACAATCCCATGTAACCAGAAAAGTTCAATTATGCATTAATTGCATTTAATTGTCCATGGCCTCAAACTATCTGTGGGTAATTTCAGTGAAGCCTTGTCATTGCTAAATGAAAATTAAAAGATCAAAGAAAGCTATTTATCATTTAATAAATAGGTAAAGAGTTTTTTTGTTGTTAATAATTGAGGAGAAAAGTGGGAAAACAGACCCACATTCTTAGGGCTGGAGAGTAAACAGAACCTCAGGCAGCAGGTTGGCGACATGTGTGGGAGCGCGAAGAATGCATGAGCGCTCGGACCCAGCAGCACCATCATGCTAAGGACAAGACCTTAGCTTGTGCCCAGAGCGCTCTTCTCTGAGCACTGTTTGTTTTATTTTTTAAATTCCTTTTATCATCGTTGACAGTATTATAGATGTCTTTCTCCTCCCTCCTCTCCCCCCTCCACCAGCACTGTTTGATTTAATAAGAAGGGGAAACCATCCAAACGTTCACAAATACAGGGTTAGATCAATACATTATGGGGTGGCATGTTAAAGAGAGGTTGGACAAATACATTTTGTATTAAGTGAACAAGAATACAAAGCAGCGTAGGCAGGACCATCTCATTGTTGCAATCCAGTGTCGGAGGGTCTGTAAGGATGGGAAACGCGGATGACCGGTTCTCCGAGGAGAGGGTGGTGGGTGGGTGACGGCAGTGAAAGTGCACTCTGAAGTTTGGATTAATGAATCACAGTAAGCAAGGACCGGTTTATGGCAGATGTGTTTCAGAGCTCAGCCTGACTGTCTGCTGCTTCTGCAGACATCCCCTGTCCCTTGCCCGAGTCAGCAGCCCTCTGTCCCTCCCACATCCGTCCTTGGACAAGGAAAATGAGCCCTTCTCCCTCCAAGGTCACCTTCCAGGGGCAGGTTTCCTCCTGGGGGCCCAGTGTTACATGTCTCTCCTCTCTGCCAGCACTGAGCACATCACAGGCATCCTACAGCCAGCTCACTGAGGAAGGTCAGGGAAACCAGGGCCTTCAGCTCGGGAGGACATGGCAGTGGTGGTTTCAGAGCTATGCTGCCAGGATGAAAGGTGACGAGTGGCCGAAACCGGTTTGGATGAGTGGATAGAGCATCGGTCTGCGGACTGAAAGGTCCCAGGTTCGATTCCAGTCAAGGGCATGTACATTGGTTGCGGGCACATCCCCGGAAGGTGGTGTGTAGGAGGCAACTGGTCGATGTTTCTCTCTCATCGACATTTCTAGCTCTCTATCTCTCTCCCTTCCTCTCTGTGGAAAATCAATAAAATATATTATTAAAAAAAAAAAGAAAGATGGCGAGAGGACATGAGTTGAGGGTCACCGGGTCCTATGGAGCAGGCATCTGCCTACCCCGGGATGTGGCAGGGTCCTGTGGGTGAGGGTGCCGGCCTGGGGGGTGCCAGGCAGACCTGGGTCTCCAGTGCTGATGGGCACATGGCTTACCCCTCTCTCTGCCTCAGTGGCCTCATCTGTGAGGGGGACAAGGCGTGGACATGCTTGGCATGGCATGTGGCGGATGGCGAGTGAGGGGTGTCCTGGACATGGAGGCACTTGGCAAAGGGCCGTTCCCTGTATTGTTATCATCGAAGAACTCACTGGGGAAATGCTTTCTGTTTCATTTGATAATAATCAAACGTTCACCTGTGCAGCCCTCCACACAGCGCTGTGCCCCGGAGCGGGTGCGGCTGGCGCACAGGAAGCCATGGCGTCGCCTGGGGGCTCGGGGAGAGCAGGCGGTTCAGGGAGCAATCGGTCACTTTAGCGTCCATGGAATGCTGTGGCCGGGATTTCAACCCCACCGTGAGCCGGCGGCTAGAAATAAGACCCAGGGCTTCCAGCTTATCCCAAGCTACTAAGACTCCTGCGTCCCCAGTCCAGCCATGTGGCTCGCTGTGTGAAAAGCAGAAAGAGGGCAGTGTCTCTGAGTCCTCGGTACTCACTTCTGCCGTTCCCATTAAGAAAAGCGGGGCTGAGAGACAAGGACCTCACAGATGAAAACGGTGGAAAATCCGGCGCTCGCCAAATGGGCGTAGGAGGGGAGCGAGCACGAGTTAGCTGAGACAGGAGACGGCTGTTTATGTGAAAATTGCTTTTCCGTCGGTTTCAGATCTAAAATGATACTTTTCAAAGGGACTGAAAAGACTAAGATGTTGCCTTTGTCATAACAAAGTACCTTTTTTTTTTTTTTCCTGTGAAGCTTGAAGCTTTTCCCTCACTGTATCTCATTTTCTTCTTTTCCTTGGAGGCCAGGATTGGAAGCTTTTAACAAATTCAGAATAGCTTCCAGGGAGCGAGGATCCCTTCGGGCTGCCCTTGGGGCACCGACTGGGACCCTGACCAGTGGGCAGGCCACCCTGGTAAGGAGCGGGGAGAATGTACAGTGATGGAGCTGAAGGAGGTTAGGGACTGGGCAGGCTTTGGGGTTGTTGGACATGGGGAGGCGAGGCAAGGTGAGTCTCAGGTGTGAGGCTCGAGTACATGAGGGGCCCATGGTGTGGCCGCCATCAGCACAGACCCAGGCGCCAAATGCAGGCCCTGCCTCCAGCTTCTGACCTTTCTAGCCCTGTGGCCTTGGACAGGTCACTTGACGTCTGAGCCTCAGCTTCCCCCTCTGTAAACAGGGTTGGTAACACCGGCACCTGTTTCACCTGGTAGCAGGGAGGGTGAAGGAGTTATTGTGGGAGGAAATGTAGGTCCATGCTGGCCCTGACCATGCATGTGAGGCCGTGTGCCACATGTGTGGCCCAGGCCTGGCACACAGCTGCCCCAGAGCTGCCACTGTTTGCACAGCACGTGCCACAGCCATGGATTAAAACGTACAATTTGGAATTTTTAAACTCTCTGGCTCTGGTTCTAAAAAATAACACGTAGCAAAGAGAGGTTGGCTGGTACTGTTTCCTCTTAGAATGTCCTGTATGTGGGCCTGTGAACTCGGCCAGCCCAGCGCCAGGTGGGCACCAGGACCCAGTGAAACCCACTTGGTGTTTGAAGGTGCTCGGTCCACTCCCCTTGGTCCACGGTGCCGGGGAGACAGGCCCACCCGTATTCCCGGCGCTTTTTCCATCGCTGATTAAACACCTGCCTTGGTCTAACATCACACCCGCTGCCTTAACGATGCTTAAAGGAACATAAAAATATGGGTGCGTAACACCACTCACCGGGGCTGCAGGCGGCTTGTATCTGTCACCGGTCAGCACGAAGCACAAAAAGTTGCAAAAATACCCAGACGTAGCTCTCATGCGGGGGGGGGGGGGGGGGGGGGGCACTCTGAAGCAATGGTTGGGTGTGTGGCAGTTATTCACCAGCCCAGAAAGCCCCAGCCCAGCTGGAGGGCACCTTCTGGCGAAACCTCAGCCACAGCGATGCAGCCAAAGGAGACGAGCCAATGGCATCGCTGAAATGGCTTTTCCCTCCCTGAGCAGCCCTGAATGGGCCTGCGCTGGAATTAACACTCAGGGCTCAGTTTCCCGTTTGTTGGTGGCAGAAAACTATTTACTGGCTTATTTCAAGCCAGACGGAGAGAGGCCTGGGGACCCTAGGCAGAATGTGCCAAAGCAGAGTGTGCCCTGCCCGTAAGGTGGGACGGGACCCTCAAGGTATCGCCATCCTGCAGGGAAGGAGGGTACGGTCGTGCGGGCAGTGGTGTTCGCGAGACCCCGCCACCCCAGAGAGCCCACATAGGGAGCCCTCCCGCCCTGCCGTCCCCAAAGGTCACACGTGCACCCAAGACAGAATAGCATTTCCAACTGAGGCTTTCCCTTCTCCTGGCAGGTGGCCCGCCAGCTCCAGCCGTCCGTGGTGTGGATCGGAGACACGGAGAAAACCTTCTACAAGAGAGTACCCAACGCCGAGAAGATGGTGAGGGCTCCCCCCGCGTGGTGTCGTCTGGGCTCTGCTACCCCTCTCCCCCACAGGGGGCCCCTTGCCGTGCTCCCACTCCTTCTCAAGAAGGTCTCGCTTTTCCAAGGGAGGAAGGAAACGGGGTGGGGAGGCGCGGCCCTCTCCCCGGACCCTAAGTACTTGTCCGCGTCTGAAAGGACGCAGTGGGCTGATTTTCGGAGGCATCCTTTAGAAGCAAATGAAGGGCTGCGTGGGAGGAGGGAGAGGGGAGCTGAAGTCCCATCACCTGCGTCAGAGGTAGGGAGCGATTTAGGGAACTCTGCTCCATTAGAGCAAACAGCACACACAGGGGTTATTATTAGGATTTCCTATTGTTCATAATAATAAAGAGCAGAGGGCCTGAGACTTATGAACAAAGGCCATCCATGGAACTGTGAGAGCAGCGCCTGCGCCTGCCCGGGGCCTCGGGGGAGCCCTCTTTCAATTGCTTCCTTCCTTCTTTTCTCTCCTTTCAATGGCCCCCACCCCCGCACTTCCCCCCACAGATCACCGCAGGTTTCCCACACGTTAAAAAAAAAAAAAAAAAAGTGCAGATATACGTGATTGTTATTCCACATCAATTTGCTCCAAAGCAAATAGTGGTTAACTGCGAATTCCTGATTAAATTCGTGAGGATTTTAATCACTTTGGATCCTTATGTATTATGCATCCCTGTTAGCAGGTAAGGGATGATTTGGATGAAGAATGAAAGCTCAATCTTTCCTTCCCCACAGGGGCCTTGATTGGCCTGTCATTTTAGAAACTGTTGAGAGGACTGGGTTATTATTTCGTCTGCGAACCTAGTGGTTAGCTCCCTCTGCTGGCGAAGTTGTACATGTGGAAAAAAATCCACATAGAGGCGAACTGGAAGGCTGGGGTTACCAGGAACCAGACTGTCAATCTGAAGAGAAATAAGTGCCAGGCAGTGGTTAGCCCACACTGCCACTCACCTGATGCATTGGAAGCTTTGTCTCGCTCATGGGCAAGGGCTAGTCGATGTCCCACTGGACAGCAGCCTGAGGAGCAGGAAGACAGACCATGGGCAGTGGGGGCTCCGGGAGCAAGGGTTCTGGGCCTGCTCTGTGTTCACCTTAGCTGGCTGTGTGTCCCTAAGCAGGTGACTTCACCTCTGCATTGGAAGAGGCTATCATGGCAGGAATTTACGGCACTGACAGCCATGGATCATGCCCTGGGGGCAACCCTAGACCGCAGGATGAGCACAGCAGAAGGGGTCCCTGAGCCCCATCATCACAAGGCCAGCCGGGGCCTGAGCCTTCCCCAGCACAGTGGGGCCCAGCCCTAGCACCCTACCCGCCCCCCCCCCCAATCCCTGCAGGACCTGCCCGTCAGAGAGCAGGGCTGAGGGGTTCCTGTCGCCTTCCTGTGACTCAGGGCCAGGGCTGGGCCAGCTCTGCTCTCCAGGCCCCCAGCTCTGACTTCTGCCCTCAGCCAAGTCCCTGGGCCCGGGGTAGCCATGAGTGTGGCCAGCCACGTTCTGAAGGTGACCACCGAATACTGAGCTGCACCCACAGGAGAGCAACCATGAGGCATTCCTCGGCTCCTCACGGCAGGTATTACTCAGTGACCTCAGGAATCCACCCATCCAGGCTTCTGCCCCACAGGCTCCCCTGATGCCTAAGGCACTGAAGCTCAGAGAAGAATTCCACCTGCAAAGAAACAGAGGCGGCCATGCTTCCCCACCCCAGCCACAGCACAAACAGCACCTGCGGCTGTCCCTGGATTGGAAGGATTCCCGAATCACACTTGGAAAAAGATCTCACCGGCAGTGACTGACCACCCTGGATGCCTCGACCGCAGTGAAGGTCACTCAGGGGTCAAATGCATTTGGCTCTCCGAGCCCTAGGCGTGGAGGCAAGGAGGTGAGCCAGGCTGCCTGCGACTCCGGAGCTCCAGGCCTGGGGACCCGCCAGAACACCAGGACTGCTGAGGCGGCCGCAGAGGCCCCGGGCACAAGGGGCCCGTCTGTCTTGCAGACGAGGACGAAGGCTCTAAGGGGCGCACAGCTGGCTGGGGTCACCCTGGGACCCAGACTCAGATCTTCTGTTTGGATGCAGAGGCCACACCTTTCTCCCCACCTGGACTGCACCTGAGCACCAGCACCTGGTTTTCCGTCTGTCCACCCACCACCCCTCCTCATCCCCGGGGCCACTAGACCACATCCTGCAAACCGCCATGGGGCCCTTTGGTCTCAGAGCCAGAGGTGCAGGGCTCCCGAATTCCCACATCCCAACGACACCCCTGTCTTCCACACCCGGGACAAGCCCTTCCACACCTAGACTCTCAGGATGGCTCCTCGTACACCGCACCCCTGCCCATCGGGCCTGCACGGGGCCCTGCCCTCCTCCTCCTGCTAGGAGCAGAGCCGTTCACCACCCTCTGTGGCTCCTGTGCAGCCGGTCAGCGGTGTGTTTGAGGCAAAGGTGGTGAGGAATGAGGCACTGTCTGGACTGCACTTTCTGCACCATTACCCTTCCTTCCTTCATCTCGCAGCAGCCTTCCCGGCATTGCCGTGGGGCCTCTGAGAGGGACCAGCTGGCCTTGGAGCTGGCTGTGCCATGGTTTGGGGGAGCTGACTGCAGAAAAGCACCCTGCCATTGCCACGGGGATGCTGGGCGCTGCTTTGGAATTGCCCACAGCACCAGTTTGCAGGCTGCAAGCTTGCAGCAGGGGCACGGCGGTGGAGTTTGCACTGGGATGTTGGGCTGGGATGTTGGCTGGTGTGATGGATGAGCATGAGAACCTCATGCACAATGGATGTGGCTCTGAACCGGAACGGTGTGGCCCGAGTGCAGGGGAGCGCTGACTGAATGGACTCACCTTTCACTCGGCCCTCCCAATGGGACTGCATCTCACCACTGGCAGGAATCACTCTGGACACAGCCCATGATCCACATTTGTTATCTAAATAGGCTGATTAAGATCAGATGTCCCTGCCATTTCAGGACTGGTAGCAACATCAGCTTCTGCCCTGGAACAGGCAGAACTGCCCCATTGTCACCACGGCAGCTAGGCTGCTAGAAAGGGGCTCAGACTGTGCAAGTGGGTCTCCATACCCATAGAGTGGCAGTCTCCACCCTCGCCAGGACCCTGGGATTATTCTGCCACCAGTCTCCGGGAAGTTCCTATGTGGCCTGTCTCAGATATGACACCAAAAGCTTAAGCAACAAAAGAAAAATTAAATAGTATCTCATCAAAATTTAAAAAATATATATTTGCTGTAACGCACATCATTGAGAAAGTACAAAGACAATATCTACAAAATCACATACGGCTAAGTGACTTGTATCTGGAATACATAAAGAACTCTTACAGCTTAGGCAAGTAACTTAAGGAAAACGTGGGGAAATGATCTGAGTACTCATTTTCATACGCACATGAAAAGATGCTGAACTTCACTAGCCCTCAGAGAAATACTAGCCAAAACCACAGTGACACGCCCCCCTTCATACCCACAAAGGTCGCCAGGATTCAGTGGGAGAGCCCGCACCAAGCACTGAGAGAAGCACCTGCAGTCGGCACTCTGTGGAGGCTCCACACTAATATTATTAGTACGGTTACCCGTAGAGACTTACAGAATGGGTGCGTGCAGGGGGGATGTTAGGGAGAACTGAGTCCCTGTGCTGTCCTTGGAGCGCCCCACCTGTCTGCAGCCTCCATCGGACTTCCCCAACGGCCCCTCCACCGGGGTCCTGCTCTTCCTGCCCAGGCTCCCCCTGCACCTGGCCAACCAGAGAACTTGGCCTTCTCCCTGGCCAAGCAGGAAGGAAGAAGGTGAACAACCACGCGGCCGCTGTGTGGCCGACAGCCTCACAATGGGAGCGGACACCTGTGCCCAGAGCCCAGTCCAGCTGCCCATCCAGGCCACCCCCGGCTTCCCTGAAAGAACCTCTCCCTCCCCTCTCTGGCCCGCTCCCCTGCCCTATAGGATGCACTGTGGCTGTGCAGAGCAGCTTGTCCACCTGGGCCTGACGCCCAGCTCTGCGGGACCTGACTCCGAGAAAGACTGGGCCGCCCCGTGGGCCTGCCATGGAGCAGGGTTCAGAGCCCAACAGTGTCCAGTCTCAAAGGCCCCACAGATTGAGCACAGCTCTTCCTCTCTCTCACAACACCCCGCCCCCCCATACCAGCTCTGTCACCCCACCTGCCCTTCACTTTTCCTCCCTGGGGCCTGGCCTTTCCTGCGGGCAGGGCTCTCTCTGCCGGGTGTGTGTGCAGACACACAGGGCCAGACACCCAGTGTGGTCTCTGCAGGGAAGCCGTGCGTGGTCTTTACTTCAGCATTCACACTGTAATTCGCTCCATTGCCCCTGAACCAACTGAGAGCAAAACTGATCAGGACTGAGCCTGAGTGTCCCTGCAAGGACTACTCACCCCGCGTTCTCCTCCTCCCCCTTCCCCCTGGCCCCTGTGCCTGGTCAGGTTCACTGAGAGCTGTGGTCCCGTGGCGACCTGCCCAAAGCTGACCCCTGGGGTGGAGGTTGTCCTCGCTGGGCCGGGCCAGGGTGAGCGCTGCGATGCCACTAAAATCGCAGGCTCACACTGTCTCCGAATTGCCTGGAGGTATTATAGCAGCTTCACCCTCACGTAACCGGGCGCCTTCAGACGTGAGATCCAGGACCTCGTTCCTCCTGTCCCTGCCGCCAGCAGAGGAAAGCTCAGGGACCCTTCAGAACAGCTCAGGAGCCCCTCAGGCAGACTGTCAGTCCCAGCCGGCTCCCCTGCGCTGGGAAACCCGTTCTCAGGGCCAACGTGCTAGAATTCTCCGCAGGTGCTTCCTTCCTCCCCTTCCAAATCCTAATTCCAGAGGCTGAGGACAGGAAGTGCCTGCCGTCAGGGCACCCAGACCAGGGAGCAGGTCCCTGCAGCCCAGGCCAGCCTGGGAGGCGCTGACCAGAGAGCTCACCCACCTAGACTGCAGGGGCTTCTCTTAACCCTTTTCTCTGCATGTGGCTCATGGTCTCCCCCCCTTTCCCCCAGAACGAACCCAAACGCCTGAAAAAACAGCTCCCCAAAATACTGAAGCTCCTGAAACCCAACGACAGGATTCTGATCGTGGGGACCACACGCCGCCCTTTCGATGCCGAAATCCAGTCTTTCTGCAGAGTCTACCAAAAAATCATCCTGGTGCCCAGGCCGGACTATGCGTCCAGATATGGCAAGTACCCCGGCCGTGCCCCTGAGCAGTGACTGAGACTGGGCTGCCAGGTGCTGGGAGGGTGGCCCAGGCACCCAGACATCGCCAGGTGATGTCCCTAGAGTGGCGTGGGCGCCGATGTCAGCCGAGCTCGGTGCCACGAATGTAAGCCGCTGGGTCACAGGAACAGAACGTGCATCTCTGCTCCGTGGTTAACACACTTCTTTTACCCGAGAGCTAAGGACACGAGGCAGGGTTGATATTTTGGGCCCTGAACGTGGCAAAGCCATCGTGGGTGCAGATGTTTCTTGTGAAGGTGTAGACAGGGGTCACTCGGCTCGTGCTGTGCCCATGGTCACGGTGTCTTTCTCGTATAAAACCATTTCTTTTTACCAGGTCACTCTTGTTATTTTTTCAGTCTTGAAGAGTGAGTCTAGCATCATGTTGACTCACTTAAACACTAACTACAACAGCAGCTTACTTTTTCCATTTTTTCATTCTTGAAAAGATAGGTTCAAATTCCACTTCTTTTTTAAACGTTTTTTATGAGAACAATAGGAGGAAGAGATCCTGAGGGCAGAGGGGCGAGCCTGGAAAAAGCCAGGACAGGGACTCAGACAGGGGACAGCTGGGTGACCTTGACACCTCGGGTGACTTCTGAGACACTGTGTTTCTCCTCTGCAGAGCAGCAGAATGGTTATGTCTCAGGGCCTTTGTGGCCCTGGCCAGAGGTGGTGGGCAGAAGAGCATGGACCTGGTGATGGAGAGGGAGGAAGGCAAGCTGTGGGGAGAGAAGGGGGCTCTCTGCAGCTGATAGTAACCTCCCCGGGGGCTGAAAACAACACGATCAGCTCTCGTGGTTCTGAGGGCTCAGCTGGCACGTTCTCCCTGAGCTGCTCAGCGCATTGCTGTCAGATGTCAGGTGGAGCTCTGCTCATCGGGAGACTGCACAGGCTGTACCAACTGTGATGGAATTGATGCTGGCCATCGCTGGCTCAGTTGTCAACTGGACAGCTGTCACCCGGACAGCCTCTACCTATCCTCTGCATGTGGTTTGCACAGCACAGCCTCTGGTCCCAGGGGGAACATCCTAAGAGCAACATTTTGAGAGGTTCGGGTAGATGTGGAAGGATTCCTATGGCCCGGTATCAAAAGTCACTTAGAGTCACTTTACCACCTTGGACTGGTCAAGAGCCTCTCCCAGGGCCAGCCCACATTCAAGGGCAGTAGGTACCCAGGTGTGAATACCACGCGTGTGGCTCATTGAGGGGTCACCGTCACCTCGCAGTGGTGGTGGTGGATTTGGTGTTGAGCTGGTGATGGGGTGGCAGTGTGGCTCTAATGCAGATGATGGGGGTCACAGTGGCGGTAGAGATGGAGGAGACAGTGGCCATGGTGACATGGTAGCGTGTTTAGTATTTATGATAATTATAAAAATGACTAGGGTAGACTTAGTTTCTATTCATCCTTAGCCAGTCACAGTAGCACCATCAAAATAGAAGGGATATAAGGTTCTTTCTGGTTGGTCTTGAACTCCTGGTCAGCTAATAGCACAACTCTCTCCTCCTCACCTATTATAAACTCCTAGCTTAGCCACCTCATTCCCAATATGCGCGCATTTCTGTCTTGGTAAGTTATGGTCCTGGCTTCATAAGCCCATATTATACAAAAAGTACAGGAGGACTCAGGTCCCAGTTCTTTCTCCATCCATTTAGTGACTTCTTCATTTTCTAGGACCTCCACTCAGTCCTTTGCATCCAACCAGCACCAAAGGAAAGGAAGAAAGATAGTATGGACAGTCTCAAAGGAGATTTTAGGGACTAGACCCAGAAGGCCAACTGTTCTTATATATATATATATATTTATATTTATATTTATATATATATATCATATATTTCATATATTTCATATTATATATATTTCATATATTTCATATATTTCATATATTTTATTATATATATATATATATATATATATATATATATATAAATAAAATCACTCTTAATGTTATCTTACTGGAATAAAATAGGGTATTTTCCTTCACTTTGGATCGAATAGTTTCTATTGTTTGACAAAACCATGGACTCTTTAAAAGTGAAGCTATTGATGTACAACAAAGACAATTGTATTATTTTAATAAAATGCCAGTCACCTCTAAGGACTAGATCTGCAGAGTCCCACCTGAGTCATCTCAAGGCAGCGTCCCACACCTGTGGTCAGGCGGCCATCCTGCACATGGCAGTTGTCGTGGGCCCAGAGCTCTGTCCACTACAGCACACGCTTCTCCCGTACTTCCTCCTTGGGGGTGACATGTTCAGGCCACCATTTTTCAGGCATCATAAATGCTGCCCAACATTTCCTCCAGTGGCCAAAGAGTATTCCTAGCCACTGTGGCTGGGACATCCATCTCACAAGAAGACTATTCCTGTCTTTGCAGTGATCAAAAGTGGTCCCTTCCAGCCCATAAAGCACAGGCTGCAAATCCATAATGGGAGCCTTTGCTCAGCCATCCATCTCCCGGCCCAGAGCCGAAGGGGTAAGGAGCAGTCACAGTCCCACCTGTCACATCCTTGAGGCAGCATCAAGGAGTGATGAGGCCGAGAACAGAAGAGTGGGTCAGCCCAAGGAAATGCAGTCCTTTAAGGTTTACTAGATCTAATCTATATCTACCTTCTTGCCCCAAATCAAGCTATTTCCTTCCAAATGTCTCTGCAAAGAAAACCCGCCCCAAGGTTGATTAATGCCTGTCTGGACCCCAAAAATCCCTTTGGGCTTCCTTCTCTCCACTTTTCTGATGCTGCTCCTCTTGCCTCTCTTCCCTGGGTCTGTTTTTCTAATAACCCAATTCATCACAGGCCCCCATCCTGGACCCAGTGTCTGCTCGGGTGAGTCCTGCCCACATCTTCTCATTTTCCTGGAATTTCAGGCTGCAACAGCCAGAAGCTCATCTATCGTATATTACTTATCCGCAATGCTTCTGCAAATTCCAAATAAGCACGAACTTTAAGTTACTGTGTCATGGAGCACTAGCCAGGGTGGAATCAGTTTGGATGCAGAAGCAGAGCAGGAGACCCAAAGTCCCAATCCTTGCTCCCTTCCAGTCCAGGGAGGGGAGGGTGTCCATCAGTGTGAGAACTGAAGTGCCTTTTGCATCTGGGAAAGTAAATAATACATCACTCTGACAGGAGGGCCCCTCTGCTGCTGCCTTCAGCCCTCCCACTCTCAATTCCCTAGCCCAGTTCTCACAGCCACACCCTCTGTTGGCCCCGGGCCTGTCCTGTTCTTGTGTTCTCCATGGGCTAAAGACCCAGCAGCCTGCTGGTGGCTCCCGTGCTGTCATGTGCCCTCCAGGCTGTGACTCACTCTTCTCGGGCCCCCTCACAATCCCACAGCAGCTAGTTAAGATCAAGAATAGCTGGTGGCTTTGTCAAAGCAACTAAGGCTGTTCTTTTAGAGGCTGCTACGTCCATTTCATCTATTACGTCAAGCCTGGTTGCCTTTCTCTGGATCCAAGTATAGAGGGTAGCTCTGGGCTAGTGGGCAGGTCCCACAGTAACTGTGATGCATCCCCAGAGCCTCTTGCTGTGCCTCCATTAAACACTGGTGAGCTTTGAAGTAACCAATCTTGAGGAATTTTGACCAAAGTTCTACACGAGTACCATGAGTCATACACTCAGATGATCAATGGTGTGTTTACACGTACACGCCAGACTAGGGTACGTGTAGGTCTTTGCTCCATAGTTCATGAATCTTTACTTGTAGACCTTCCTTATGTTAGAAGGGGAATGGCAGGGTCTGTCATAGCTTAATGGCTGGCAGGGGGAGTGCGGAGTGTTTGCTGTTGGTGCCCTCGGCCAGTCCACTCTGTGCTACAGATAGGCATAGATAGGGTGCCCACAGCTGAGGTTGTTCTGGGTTCCCAGCCTTGGGTAACCACCGGTTCCAGCTTTAGGGACTACCCCTGAGACTCGCCCATAAAACGTGTTCCCTTCTCTGTGTCCAGTCACCACTCCAAGCTGCTGCACATTTTTAGATGCCATGAATTTGGGCCGGAGGTGAGCCAGATCCCTGGGACAATGCTGTCTGTCTGTGGTGGTTTATTTTGACCACAGGATGTGGCTTCTGGTGTCTCACCCTCCAGGAGTCATATTTTGATCAGGGCACTGCCCATCTCTGCAATCTGCCTTTACACAGCAGCTTTGAAATAGCCTTCAGTGTATTTTGTGTGATTTCCTATAATTGACGTCATAATGTAATTGACGTCATAATGAGTAGTAGGGAACTTTGGCACAAACCGGAATGACTAATAATTATTATTACTAAAACAACACTGACGCAGCTACAGAAAACAACGTGCCCACCCTGCGTGAGAACGGCGATCTCCCAGCTGCTTAGCAGACGTTCTGATTTCTCATGCAGCCTTTCCCCTCCCAGGTTCCAGGCAACCCTGAGGCGGGCTCAGGCTCAAACACACCCACCAAGGCAGCAGACCCGGGGAGTGAGGTGTTGCTGAAGGGGCCAATTTGAGGTCCTTGGAGCCCTGGTAGACTCCTTGCCCTTACTTCCACCCTTGAAGCCTAACCTTCCCCACTTTGGAGACACCAACAGGCCCCGTGGCAACGTGTCCCTTCCCAGCACCTCAGCTCACCACAAGGCCAAGGACCCCTCCGCCAAGAAGGACCGTGGAGATGAATTGTTGGAGTAACTCATGGCTCCCATGAGGTCACAGTGACCTTGCCTGTCATTTCATGCCTTGGTGGTAGTTAGAACTCCATGTTTCGCTGAGCTTTTTTGAATCCAGGTGGTTGGATGACGTGGTCACTTCATAGACTCAACAGTTCTCAGAGGAGGTGGCAATGGCCGCCTTTTAAAAAGTTTTAGCTCTTCCTCCAGGAATGTCGAAATGCTTTAAAGACATTTGAGCAGATCTTCCCGGCTCGGAGACAGTTGGCCTCGCCTACGGCCTCCCGTCTGCCTGCGGGTGCACAGTTGCCGTGAACCTCATGACTCCCTATCTTTCCAGAACGGTGTGGTTCTCTAAGTGCAGTGTTATCTCCAATGGAGTGTGGCATCCATTCTGTCTCTCAGGGTTAAGTAAACCTCAAGAGTCACTTCAAAATTCATGTTCACAACAACTCCCTGTATCTGGGAGTTGCCCCGGGTCCCACTCATCCAGAGAACAGCCTGTCTAGTAGGTCGGTCAAGCTGCATGTGTCCACATTTGTTGGGAGCAGAGAATAAGGGTCAAGTTGCTCCATTTAATACAAGGTGTCTCACACCCACAGGGACCTGAGCCCACCCAGGTATTGCAGCTTTGTGCAGAGAATCGGATTAATCCTGCCTTCTCTGTTCTCTGTCTTTCCCACCATCTCTGAAACAACAGTCTTGTGGCAGCAAATCATTCAGCGCCACGGAGGAGCCATTACGAGTGCCTTGAACTTAAGTTGCCTAGCGAAGGTCACGGACGGCTTCACCCAGGGACACATCGTCCAGGTGGTGAAAGCGGTGCTCACTGACCGGAGGCTCCGGCAGCAGGTGTACAAGCCGCTCATGGCCACGGAGTTCATTACGGCTCTCAGCAGCCTGGACCCTGTCTACCAAGAGGAAGAAGACAGCTTTAAGGTAAATGGAGCCCGTCAGGTCCCAGTAGCACACCCGCCCTGAATTTCAGGAATTTGAACCCTGCCATAGGCAATGAAATGTGGGGATCACAAAATCCGTCCACCCTTAGCAGTAAAACATGTATCTTCCAAATTTTAAAAACATCATGGTCTGTGATCTTATGAATTATCAGCCAGATTACAGAATTGAGTAGCAGCATCAATACTATTGGATTCATAAACACACGCACACCCCTGCATGCACACATGCACCTGCACACACATATGCCTTATCTTGTTTACGCACTGGTTTTTTACTTCATATTTCAGACAGTGGAACAAGTCTTCCATAGAGAAGACCATTCCCTATATTACAAACCAATGCAGTTCCTGCCCTATACTTGCCATAGTCCTCTTGAATTTTCAGGCACCAGCAATAGGAAATCACACCTCAGAGGAGAGCACACCAAAATTTAGTTCTCTGATGTTTAAATACATTCTGAGATATTCAGACTTTCCTAGATCTGGAGGAAACTTGGAGAACCAGCTCTTCCAAATCTGTCTTCTAAAGGAGGGAAAGGAGTTACAGAGGCTCTGTCCCTCCTTATCCAAGCACATTAGCAGCCTTCCCCCCTCCCCCCTCCCGAAGCCCAGGCAGAAGGCACTCCTCAAAGTCCTTTTAATCCAGAGAAATGCAATGTGTCCTCTTTCTGCACCTGCACATAGTTCTTGCCCGACTGGAAAACTGTGTTTCCCTCCTTGTCCCACCCACTGGAAAACTGTATTTCCCTCCTGCTTTGCCACGAATGCTTCAAGGGAAGGTGGGAAATAGTCACAATGCTAGCCCCCTGGAGGATGACCTGGCACAGTGGCTGGCAAATGTTTCCCGTACAGGGCCAGACAGAAGTTATTTTAGGCTTTGAGAGCTACACAGTCCCTATTACAACTGTCCGACTTTGCATCGTGGCGCAGAACATCCACCCACAGCAGGCACATGATGGACATGGCTGGGTTCCAATAAAACTTTACTTGCAGAGACAGACAGCAGGCCAGATCAGACTCATGGGCCATAGTTTGCTGAGCTCCACTCCAGCAAAACTAGAAAAAAAATATTTCCACTCCAAGTTGTGTTTTTGCCAGGCATTTGCATTCCTATTCTTGTTAATGATTCAAGCCTTGCTAGTATTAATGGTAAATATTTACCCTCTTCAAGGGATATGTCATATTTTTCACTGAAATTCCAAATGTTCTTCTTTTTTCTAAAATGTCATTTTCTCCCTTATTTGGAGGAGCAAAGTTTAGGGTGGTAAAATACCTATGTTTTCTCTGAGCCGAGTTTTCCACTTTGCAAAATGATCTCTTTGTTCCTGGGGTCCAGTGACTGCCATATAACTGATCATACAATTCAAGAGAAGGAACTGCTACCATTATATATGGGATGAGCACACATAGGCTTCTCACATTCGTTCTCGCCATATTCAATCACTTCATTGTTTAAGGAAACTATGTCATTTTACCACCATCTTCCTACCCCCCAAATTCACTGCTGCTGCCCAGTCGTAGCTGCAGGGCTGGGGACAGCGCCTGCCCCTCATCTGCCTATCTACTTATTCAATAAACTTGTTTAGGGGCAAGTTTCCTGAGCAGATAGATAGATGAAGTGGCTCTGTCACACTCTTGAATAATGTGACACTGTGGCTGTAGCTGCTTGTAATCAGCCGGTCACTTCTGTCCTGAGGAACCTGACTTGTGTCTGGCCACATGTCAGACTGAGGTCTCACGGAGCCTCCAAACACATTGTCCCCGCTCCATGGACGTGATGGGGGACATATTGAGTGATAACAGTTTAATAATCAGAATACTGTTAGCTCAAACATATTGACTACTTATGTGCCAGACACCCTATTAATTCATTTAGTCCCCTATTTTACAAATGAGGAAACTGAGTTATGGAGATATGTGGGAGGCAGAATAATGCCCCCCCCCAAAGACAGGGACTATATCCTAGTCCCTGAAACACGTGACTATGTGAGTTTACATGTGTAAGGGAGATCCAGGGAGCAGGTCAGATTAAGGTGCTAAGTAGTGGACCCTAAAATGGGAAGGCTATCCTGGCTTATCCCTGAGAGTCCACTGTGATCATCAGAAGTAAGAGGAAGGGATCCGAAGAAAGAACCAGAGCGAGAGCAACAGGAGAAAGACTTGGGTACCCAATGTCACCAGCTTGGAGGGGGGCCCACAAGCCAAGAAAGCGGGTGATCTCTGAAAACTGCAGAGGGTGAGGGAGCTGCCCTCCCCTGGACCCTTCAGGAAGGAGCACAGCCTGCAGACCCCTTGATGTCAGCCCAGGGAGCCCCATTTTGGACGTCTAATCTGCAGAAATAGAAGATAATGTTCTGTTTTAAACCACGAAGTTTGTGGTACTTTGCTACAGAAGAAGAAGAAAAAATAAGCAAGAGTCAAAGGAACTTTTGTTCCAGGTCACACAGCTAGAAAGAAGGAGACTGAAATTCAAACCTTATTTTGAAATAAAAGCCAATTCTATTACCCATTTTCTCTACTGTTTCAATAAATCATCACCTAAGTACTTAGCCACCTCACCTTACATGTTAGCCAAAGCTCAAAGGAGGATGAGAAGATCCCGAAGCACCAGAAACCAAGAAAAGTCTCCAGTGCAGCAACAGTCATAAGCCTGGTGTGCAGAAACGAGGCACAAAATACAAAACGAGAGTGAGTGGCAGAAAAAGTAATGGCAACCCTGCTGCTTCTGTGACTGGCTCTCTGATCTCCCCACATCACTCAGGGGGACCCATTTCCAGACCCACCAGCATCATTCTAAGTTCTGCATCTGGGCTGAAAGGCCTGGGTAGGAGCAACTGCAATACTGCTCTGAAGGGAGGAGTAACAAGAGAGGAAGAGACCAAAGCAAACCCTCCTACTCAAAATGCGTCTAAAAATCAAGATTCCAGACATTTTAGGAAATCTAATTATAAGCATCATCTGGAAAAAAAAAAGTTGAAATTTATATAATGCAGATGTTCAAGAAAATAAATGAAGGCATAACTTTCCATTGGAGGTATACACAAAGTTTTAAAACAAAGATGGAGAAATAGAACAAGAGATCATTATGAAAACAATTGCAAAAAGAAAGTGTATAAATTAAAAATATAGTTACTAACATAAATGGAAGAAATAAAAGAAGGATGAACTCTAGAATAGACATGGTCAAAAAGCAAATAAGTGAACTGGGGGGTGTTCCTGGGTCTACCCAGAAGGCAACACAGAGAAACAGAAGCTAACACCTATGAAATATAATCAAGAACCTTTAAAGATATTACTCCCAACTAAGCGAAGATTTTTTGAAGAAAGGAAGAGAAGAAATAATTTGAGGAACAATAATTTTGAAGGAATACTTGCTGAGAATTTTTCTGAATTAAAGGCATGGATTTCAGATTTAAAAATATATTCCAAGGGCCCAGCAGAACATATAAAAATAAATCTACTCCTACATCCATTATTGGAAACCTGAGAACAAGACCACAGACCAGTCTTAAAAGATACCAGATTACCTACAAAGAAACAACATTTAGGAAATCAGACAGCTCTCTGACCACAATAGATGCCAGAAAACACTGAGGTCATTTTTGCAAAGTGCTGAGGAAAAATAACTGTCAACCTAAAATTATATCCAGCTAAGCTCGCATCCAAGAGACAGGAGAAAATAACATCTCAAAACATACGGAGACTGAGATAGTTTCCCATTCACAGCCACTTCAGAGAGCAGCTTGAACAAAAAATAAATAAATTAAAGATGCTCATGACCTACAACCCCAGGAATCCTATTTCTGTGTATATGCCCTAGAGAAGTGTTCTCGTGTGTATAAGGAGATATGTACAAGTTGTGAATTTCAACATCATTCATATTAATAAAAAATTGGAAATGAGCTATATGTCAGCAACTAGAACATTGATAAATAATGTATAGAATAATCATTCAGTGAAATATTACTACTACAGCCCGGCCGGTGTGGCTCAGTAGTTGAGCATCAACCTAAGAACCAGAAGGTCATGGTTCTATTCCTGGTCATGGCACATGCTCAGGTTGCAAGCTCATTCCCCAGCATAGGACTGCAGGAGGCAACGGATCAATGATTCTCTCTCATCATTGATCTCTCTCTCTCTCTCTCTCTCTCTCTCTCTCTCTCTCTCTTCTCTCTCTCTCTCTCTCTCTCTCTCTCTCTCTCTCTCTCTCTCTCTCTCTCTTTCTCTCTCTCATCATTGATGTCTCTCCCCCCCCAAAAAAAAATCAATAAAAATATTTTTAAAAGAAAGAAATATTACTACTACAAAGTTTATAAACCAAAATGTTTCTCAGGTTTCAAATAAAATGTGAAGGAAAATGCCATCACAGGCCCAAGCACAATTTCTTAACTGCTTTATTGATATTTTTGGCTTCAATGCTTCTGCCATGTTTTCAGTGATCTCCCTTAGTGTTCGTCTGATCTCCTATGGTGCACACCCGACCACCAGTACGGCTTCTAGCAGCTTCGGTGCACCAGAGGGGCCCTTCACATTAGCAAGAAAACCCACACTCTTGGGATAGAGTAAGACCCCTGGGAGACAGGTGGCTTCATCGGGAAGCGCTGTTGGTTAGATTCAGCCTGTAGTTCTCTGAAACTCTTAACTCCTTGAGTAGAAGTTAACAAATTGTATAGAAATACCAGTGACAAAGAATTTGTATTAAATATACATGAAATATCCAAAGTTCAATACCCAGCCTGCCCCTTCCATCTTAGCAAGATCGTCTCTATTTTTTAAGAGTATCCCAGTGAATTTGTGTCATTTTTGACATTTTCCTAAATATTTGTTTTGTTTCAGAGCTGGTATGCCAAAACCCCTATGGGTAAAAGGCGTGCCTTGGCATTGATGGGAGGGAACACAGGAAATGCAAAGGATAAAGGACAAAAGAAGGGGAAAAAGGAGAAAAAGAAGAAAAAGTAACGCCTTTCTGAGGAGCCATCCTTGAGTGTCTCTCGGGGATGACGGAGGCCCTGACTCTCCAGTCTGAAGAAGACCCACGCTGAAGCCGCAAGCTCCTCAGCCTCTGACTCGCTCGGCTAGACCTTTGCTGGGCTGTACACCAGGCCAGCTGTCCGTGGCAACTGTTTCTAGAGCTTGTAGTTATTCCTTACCCATGTAAAGTTTGTACACAACCAAAACTCACTCTTCACACTCCATGACGTTTTCAAGTTGGATACTTCACCTCATCAGTACGAGTTGCCAAATTTAAAATTCGATAGTTAGGAAATACTCTAATTTGACAACTAGTAAGTAACTAGAATCTATTATGAGAACACTAGCTTTTTATTAACCCATTTATAATGTATATTCTCTTGCACATATTTTAATAAATTAATTCTTTGCTCTATTAATAGACTTTTTATAATGGAATAAAATTCTATTGTCCTTTAACTGACTCAGTAATTTGGTTGCTTGAGCTAAAAACAACCCCCCCAAAAAAACCCAAAACTTTAAATTTAGCTGTGTCGATCTTCTGACTTTGAAGATGGGGAAACTATTCTAAAGAAATAGAATAAAAGATAATTATGAAAAAAATCATAAAAAGAAAGCTTAGAAGTTAAAAATATAGTAATTTATATAAAATGAAAAAAATAAAAGCACTATGAGTCTAACTAGACATGGTCAAAGAGCAAATTAGTGAACTGGAAGACGGTCCTGGGGGAATTAGCTCATAAGCCAGCACAGAAAAACAAAAAGATAAAATCTATAAACTACAGTTTATTTAAAGACATTGACACCTAACTAACAGAATTCCTAGAAGAAAAGAAGAAATATAGAGAAACAATAATTTGAAGAAGAACTTGCTGAGAATTTTCCTGAAGTAAAAACATGAGTTCTAAGATTTTTAGAACATTGGGACTGAAGTAATTGCCCTTTAATTCCCTGTCTGCTACTTTTGCAAAGCACTAGAACAGTGGCAGGCCATTGCTAGATGAAAACTATGACATAAAAATAGGATAAATGTGGAGAAGAGAAAACATAAATGAATAAGAAAAAAAAAAACTGACCAAGAAACCAAATAAAGAATAGAAAAACAAGGATTCAAAGAAAAATTTGAATTTTATATGAATATAAAAGGAGTAGAAGATAGTCACCCATTTCTCAATTGTGATGAGAACTCAGGAAGGAGATTCACATCAAGGGGGGGATGAATTTAATAGATTTATGACTACCTTAGCTGACAGTTTTTAGTTCTACCACAGGATGTGGTATAGTCCGATCCTCTGTAGACAATAGTAGATGTCACGGTTTTCCTGGATTCCCAGGAGGTTGGAATTCAATGCTCAGAACCACTGGCCCCAGGTATCCCCTGGCCACCAGCACATGCCACTCGGCTGCGTCTGTGCAGGAGACCAATGCCATGTAGGACAGAGGGAGACAGCTGCAGACCCCTGTGCTCTGACACATCTGAGGGAACCAGGATGCCATCCTGAGTCTGTCCTCTGGAACAAACTCTGCTTTCCCTGTTCCCTGCCATGGACTTGCCTTCTCATACCAGAGGACCCCCAATTTCAGTGACCTCCCCTTGCCAAGGCCCAGAGTGACCCAAGAGATAGACAGACTTTCCACCCTTACCTCAGAGAACAGTTTGGTCTCTCCTGGGCAGTTGCACCAAGACCCTTCCCATCATACATCATGGGGATCAGACCCAGTGTTATGACCCAAGAACAGAACTTCAAGACTCTAGCATTTGATATTCTTTGCAAAATAATAGGATCTGGATAATAAAAATGGAGTATTATGGTAAGGAAATGGACATTATTAAAATATTAAAAAGGAAACCGTTGAACTTGGCCTCAGTTTAATAACAAATGTACTTTATCAGAACTCATACAAATCTGCTAGAGCTTAATAAGCAGTCATTAAAGACAAAATTTTAACCAAGGCCCTGGCTCTGGGGCAGCCCCACCCAATAGGACTCCTGCAGCATGGAAGTGGTCTGGTACTGTGCTGTCCCCTGGCTAGTCAGCACTTGCATTGTGGCTGCTGCAACTGGGTTTATTTTTTAAGTTAATGATAATTTGCACTTAAATTGCTTCATATGGCTAGTGTGACCGGTATATTCAAACAATGTAGCTTTAGGGTAACTTGAGTCTTAAACATTGAAAAGATGGCCCACGTATGGCCCAGACATGCTTCCTCTCTCAGGGAACACTCATTCTGAGCGGTGATCACCACTGGCAGCTCTGTCTTCTCCCAGCTGTGACCCCGTGCTAAGTTTTCTAACCAGGTCCACAGGCCTCACATCAGCCAGCACTACCATCTGGTTTCCAAGGACCATGATGTTGCCTCCCTCCTAGCAGGCTTTGCCCCCTCCTCCTCCTGCCAGCAGATGCCACTTACTCTGTGCTGAGCAGACCTCTGTGTATGTCAGTACAAACTCCACAAGATTCCAACAGGCCATAACCCTGCACTTATAGCATGTACACCACACTCTCCTTGTGAGGGTGGCAGGGATGTGTAGATATGTAGACAAATACAGTCACAGAGACATATATTCCACTTTTTATACATAAACGTAGTCTGTTCCACCCCCTTGCTCTTTTCACTCAATAATATATCTTGGGGGGGTGTTTCCTACCAGCCACATAGATCGGCCTCGATTTATCTGAGCTGCACAATCCCCTCTATGGAAAGCGCATAATCGACTCGGCCAGACCCTTCCTGGCAGACATTTAGGTTGTGCCCACCCTCTGGCTCTTCTGCCAATGCCACAATGAATTCCTTTTGGCATCCTTTTTTGTGGGAGGGGGTCTGCAGGATAAATTCCTAGAAGCGACGTTACTGGGTCAAATTACCTGTGGGTGTTTAATTTTGGCAGCTCTGGCCAAAGTGCCCTCCGAAGAGGTGCTCATCACGGCCTCACACAGGAGGACAGGTGCCCCTTCCCTCTCCACCCCTCTCCACCCATGGGGCAGGCTCCCTGGGAGGGTGATGCAACAATGGCTACAGCTCCGTGGCACTGCCACAGAGACAGAAGTGGCAGCTCTGGTGTGAGAGAAGAGGAGAGAGGAGCTGGTGTGTGTGGGCAGGGGAGGGAGGCGGTTGGGGACTTGAACCAAGAAGAGGAGACACGCTCTTCCTGGAGTCCAAGCTATTCCTGAGCCCTTGTGTGACAATTAGCTCCTCTCAGCACGGTCTTAAGTGAAGAGGACAGTAATTAACGTCATTAACCCTCGTTAGTGGAGCATTTGGTGGAATGAAGCCTGGTGAGAGTGGATTTAGACCTGGGGGTGGGGTCTGCACTCCCGCCCGGGACCAGCTGGCTCCAGGTCCCAGACCCTTCATGGCAACATGCTCCTGAAGAGATGTCCCAAGACCCTCGGACTTGAACACCTCCACCCAGAACTGGGACGGCAGCTCACCCGAAGCTGAGGAATCTGCTCTAGAGACTCTTCCCGATCAAACACCCAGCTTACCACAGAGGCAGCCCCTGAGGTAGGTGTGCCTTGGCTCTGTCACAGGACTGACACTGGGAACCCAAACCACTGACGGGTGTGGCCTCTGCTGTCCTGAAGGAGGTGCCATCACAGCTGTCATGCCCCTTACATCATCACCCACAGGGCAGGACTCGGTGATGAAAGTGAAGATTCTGATTGGAGAGAGGCACGGGCTAGTGCTCACCAAAGCAGAGGAAGCAGTGGCAGATGAGCCGGCAGCCACCTAAATGGTGAGATTCAAAAAACTAAAGGGACATGGCCCAAACCTGTGCCTCCAAGCGCCGGAACCTGCCTCCTGAGCATCAGGCATCAGTCCTGTCAGGGGACTCCACAGGTGCAGTGCAGGGCGACAGACTCCTCCAAGGAGCCCCCGTCCCCGCCCGTGGCAAACAAGCTCTTTCTTTTGACCCAGGACTGACCTCTTAGAAATGAAGCCTAGAGTTTAAGCAAAGGCCAGTCTCACCACCACTCTCACCCTGGCCGGCTCTGCACACACGAGGTTTTCTATGCTCATGCGTTCAGCCTCTGCCTCCCTGGCTGCTGTGAGGAGGAAACCCAGTCAGGACCCAGGCCTTCAGCATGGTGCCTGGCCCAAGCTCTCGGCAGCCCTGCCCCAGGTTCATTCAGGGCCTGGGCAAAGGGTCCCTTGAGAAGCAGGTGAGGCCCTGCACAAGCTGGGGCCTCTCTGTGGGGTCCCCACCACCACTCTCTATCTCCCACCCTTTCACTTGGCTCTGTTTTCCTGTAGGGACCTGAGCCCCTAGCTGGCCTTGCTGCAGCCTGTCCTCACGCCTCACCCCAGGCTGATTGGGAAGGGAGACCAACCAAGGAGCTGGAAAGAGAGCCCTAGAGTCCTGGAAGCCTTGTGACTTTGGACCAGTGCAGTCACACACATGAACACATTTGCAAATGCATGCATACATATGTATGCGTATATGTGTACATAGTGTGCATGCATATGCACAATGCAAACGCATGCATAACATACTCAATATATATACACACTACATACTACGTGTAAATGGGGACACACAAATACAGGTATACACACATTCCACTCATAGAAACACACACCCTACACAAACACACATATGTAACAAACATATGTACATTCACATGCATACACACACTCGACACATGCTACACACAGTCCCATTTCCTCAATAGAGCTGACAGCATATGCCATGGCCCAGCGTCCCTGAGCCTCAGGCCCACCTGGGGCCGGGGGACCAGAGGAGCAAACAGGGAGGATGCTCAGCAGGTGCTTGTGGGCCCTAGAGCGTGGGGGAGGCCGTGTTTACTGTCTACACCTAGCGAGTGTGCACTGAAAACATCCGCTTCCTGCTCCTTGGGGAGTCAGGGGAGACCCAGCTGCAGCAGGAAAGGCTGATGCAGACCCCACTGCCCCAGCTGCATGGGGGTGGGGGGCAGGAAGAGCCGATGGCGCCACCCTGGAGAGCAGCCCAAGTGCCTCTCCAC